GCAAAATTGTTGCTGCGACTGGTATTTCATTGGGCTCTGTACACACAGTTACTAAACTCGATAAATTTCATCCATTCAAAATGAAAATATTGCAAGAGTTGACCGAAGATAATTTCGATAGTCGAGTTGAGTTTTCACTGCAGCGATCAATGATAATACCATTCATGTAAAGAATATCTGCTTTAATGATGGATGCATTTTATCTAAATGGGTCTGCATATAACTGCAGGTATTGGAGCAATGGAAATCCTCATGCTTTTGTAGAAGGGCATTCCCAAAAAATGTATATATATATATATATGTATAGGCAGACATTTTAGGCAACAAAGTGATTGGGCCATTGCTTTTTAGTGGAAATGTGAATGGATAGATTCATTTCCATATGCTGGAAAATACCATCATCTGCTTATCACTGAAACTATTGACAACCAGATCGAGGAGGATGGAACCCTATACTTGATGAGGCTGAAATATAATTCCAGCAAGACGGACTTCACCATGTTCATTTGAAGCTAATATACTTTTTAATATGAGGTCATTTGAAATCTATTGCGTCTACTTCCCAAGCTGAAAGTTTGGATGAACGTTTTCAACGCATCGTCGAAAGCTGCCGTGTTATATCATTATTTTTTGGTTATAAAGTTGTCCCCGTTGACAAATCTTTCGACGTGTCTCGGCGTTTTTTTAATCAGTAGTTTTCGATAAAACCGTGGTCGGAAGTTTTCAAATGAGCACCTTGTATGTTAATAATGATGATATGTTTCAGGTAAAAAATGTTTATAAAACGAATTATGAAAATGCAGAGAACCTCTTATTTTAAACTACATTCACACCGACTTCCACCTATACAGTCTCTATAAACGTAGATTTCTATTTATGCCTCGCAACCCGGCTGCAGGGACTGTCTATTAATTCCAAATCTCCGTTCTTAATTTCACTCTACGTCGTCCTTTCAATTTTCAGCAATTTGTAGATACTCGTTGTCTGCCAGCCAGCTCTTTCACTTTAATCTTCCAACAGTCGCAGCAGTAATCAGTGCTTCGGATTCGTCCAAACTTGCAAAAAAGGATCCAACTTTTTTCTCTCTCCTTTGATAGCATTTACCGCTACGCAGTTTTTTATTTTACCTGGTCCTCGATCAGTTGGTGTGCAGCTCTACTAACTTTTCGCAGGTCGCTGCTATGTAAAAATAACAAAACGTAGATTTGAAACGGTCACTTTTTAATTAGGAACCGTTTTGAAATGAAGTCAGAGAAATTTTTTTATGAATGAAAATTGCAACATAGACTGAAATATGAACATTTTTCCATTTTTTAGCATAGTCACCATAAACATTCAAACATTCGTCAAGTCCTGAGGCCAGCGTTTGGATCCCGTTGAGGTGTGAAGAATGCCTAGTTTTCTTTTGAATATTTGGAATATTTTCCTAACATTTTTTTATATGATAATTTTAGTATTATATAGAATATTTAATTTATACTTTGATATTTTTCCAATACAATTTACTCACGTAAATCAGTATAGACATGGCCGTTGTAGAGTTATCATTTTTGAAAGATTAACAATGGAATTTCTATAGGGTTCCAAATAAAGGCCCTTACTTTTTTATTTAAGTAAATTTGTTTCAAATGGTACATTAGTGACATGTATTAATTTGCTATATTACTTTTATACAGAATAAATAATAGCTGAAAGAAAAACAAAAAAAACACGTTTTTATAGCTAACCGATCTAAAAGGTAGAAAATAATTTTTAAATACAAATAGTCTATATTACAGTAGTAGATGGTCGAACAGTCAACCATAATTTATGACCTCAAAATAAAACTATAATAAAATTTATGTTATTAACAGAATCATTCGATTCAGAGTAAAAACGGTGAGGTGCTTGATAAATTAAATGTTACAATCTATGAGTGGAGAGTTATTTAAATGTAATAAAATGCACACCACGCTTTTTACTCCGAGTTGAATTATTCTGTTAACAACTTAAATTTTATTATCATTTTATTTTGAGGTCATTAATTATGATCGATTGTTCGACCATCTACTACTGTAATATAGACTCTTTTTAAATTCAAATTAATTTTCTACTGTTTAGATTGTCACGTGCCAAATTCACGTAACCTCTTTTTTACTATTTAACACTTATCAGTAATTTGAATTTCTCTTCATTGATAATAGAGTGCCCATTCCTAGGCCAGATCCTTTTCAATAATTTTCTTTTGGCAAATTTAATAGTTTATTCTCAGCGATTCAGTATGGTGTTGACGATCAGCAAAAACCTCTGTAGTTTTTCTCCGTTAGTCGGTTTCCTATAAAACATATCTTGTTCAAGGCCACTCAAGATACCTGCTTCTAGAACGTTACGTGTTCTGGGTGATTCGCCTTTCTGTTTCCGTTGAGGTCGTAGTGCAGGGGTCGTTTCTTCATTTTTCGGACTCTGGGATATTAGGCCCCAAGCGCCAATTCATGGACTAGCACCCTTTTTTTGTGTAACTTAGCCTTAGTCATTTTGGTTTGGGTGCTACGTCTTCCATTTTCTTCCAACAGAAGAAAATCAATATCCTTTCTCCTCCAGTTGGTTGCATCTTGTTGCAGTTTTGCAAATTGGCGGAAGCCATCATCTTGAAAAAAAAGTTATAGCAGCTCAAAATTCAAAATCATGATCAATGTAATTGGTGCCATGTAGGCGCTGCCACCATATTTGAATCCGTAGAATGTCCAATAAAATCAAGAAGCCTCTAAGAATTTCAATAAGCAATAATAAATGTAAAAAGATCTATGAAATTTTTAATTAGAATGATCTTTCACCTGTTCACATCAGGTTTTTTTTATCAAGGGAATGACCTTAATTTTGACGATGAAAAGGTGCAGATTCGGTCACTGATAGATGACTTTAACAATACTATCAGTACACTTTCAATGGATGGGGCACAAAACAGATTTCTTACCGCTCAATCTTAGTTGGTCCACCTTCTCAACCGCGTTAATCCAATCCCTGATTCAATCCTTGGCATAGAAGATGAAATTCAAAGAACTCAACTCCTAATCGATATTTTGGCAGCATTAGATTCTTTAGAGACGCCGTCTAGGGAAGATCCTCAATTAAATACACTTTTTCGAAATTCTGATGAAAATTTGGCTTGCCAGAGAACTCCTATCCATAATTCAACTGTACAAAATGTTTCATCTAGACCTCCCATTATCCAAACTGTTCAACCGAAGCCTCAAAACATAGAGAAATGGAACTTAAAATTTTCCGGTGAAGTAACACAACTTTCTGTCCATAACTTTTTAGGAAGGGTTAATGAACTACGGTCAGCGCGCAACGTAACTGAAAAGCAGTTGTTTGACTCGGCTTTAAATCTTTTCACTGGGAAAGCGTTAAACTAGTTCAGAGCAAACCGAAATAGAGTCACTGATTGGGAAAGCTTAGCTGATTTGTTAAAACGTCATTTTGAACCTCCTGATTTTCGTGCTAGACTTTTCAGAAATCTTAGTGAGAACACACGATCATCGGAGGGTATTATTGATTATCTGTCCTGTATGCAGGGACTGTTTAGGCATTATGGTGATCTAACGGAAGAGCTTTAGTTAGATATTGTATGTAGGAATTTGCCACCATTTTATACTACCTTGGAACAAGTTGAGGTCGAATGTCTTAAGCTTGTGGTTAAGAAATATAGAGTTGAGAATTATGTACCCCCATCTCCAAAGCGTCAACAGTTTGTTGAGCCCGACTTTGCATTCGTAGAAACGGAAAGTCCCCATCCTACCTCTCGCGAACCTGAAAGTGCGAATAAAGTTGCTGAGGTAACTGAGGTATCTAAGGTCTCCCAAAGCGATTCATCGCGTAGGGTTACTTGTTGGAATTGCCAAAAGTGGGACATATAAATCGCGATTGTCCCAATCCGAGGAAAACTCGCTGTGGTGCACCAAATGTAACCATTAGGAATTGTCTCAATTGTAGTAGTTCAGGAAACGAGTCCCGGAGGAATCGTTAGGTCGTGCTATTTCCTCCCAGTCATCACCTTTAACGGCAAACACCCTTGATTTTCAAAACAAAGTTCTTCTCGATTTTGGTGTTTCACATGCCCATGGCGATCAACGTCCTTACCTTAAAATCGATATAATGGGTTATTCCATGTTGGGTTTACTTGATTCTGGTACTAGTCGGACATTGACTGGACTATCAGGTTATGAAATACTTTTAAGCTTGGGTCAAAACAGTGCATGTACTGTGGCGAACGGTCAAGTATGTCATAGTATAGGTCAGAGCTCCCCAAACTTTTTTGTGTCGTAGACCCCTTGCCATATTTTTCCGTGTTGGGTAGACCCCCTACTTACCTGATATTGATTTCCTGTAAATTTCTAACTGTAGTGAAGTTTAGTGTTAAAAACTTAAAGTAAAAACACATGTTAATTTATACATTTATTAATTGAATTTAAATTAAAACTACTCAAAATAAAATTTTGTATCAGTTATGAAAAATATACGTAACATTAAATAAACAGGTGTCTGACCAATAAGTGCCCGCATTGGGAATAAGTGCCCGCATTGAAAAAAAATAAGAGGGATAAAATAGAAAAAAAGTGAAAAATAATAAAAAAAAGTTTTTTACTTAAAATAGCGAGTTCGTTTATTAATTATAACATAAACGTATGTTCTAAAATAATTTCACTGTTAGTTTGATTAAATACTGCTTCTTATACGTTTAGGTTATCTAAAAATAGGCAAAAAATTAACGAATTTTAGTGTGTACCTTGAATTTTCAGAATAATTTAAAAACAAATATTTTCTATAAAGGGGGGTTATTTAAAAAAATCAATACGGGCACTTATTCCCAATGCGGGCATTTATTGGTCAGACACTAATAAACATAAAATAAACTATAAATAAAATAACATAAGCAATAAGTCAATATTTTTAGTGGGAAGGAACCTGATGCTTTAATAATAAATTATCAACATTTGGCTTCAATTTTGTAAGGGTTAATCTTAAATCTCCTCGGCTAATGATGTCCAGTCTATTTCTTTTTTCGTTAGGAGATTGGTAAGAGCGCTGAACCCCCTTTCCACTAGGTATGACGATGGAAAGGAAATTAAAAATTTCCTCGCTATATTCCATAATACGGGATAAGTAACGGGTATGTTGTTTTGCAGCCAGAATTGCTGATATCCGTTTTTAAACTGAACCTTAAGTTCTTCGTTTGTACTTAGTTTAGTCAGTTCCTCTTGTATTATGACATTCGTTTCTTGTATGTCACCATATGGATTAATTATCCACGGTGGTATTACCATAGTCAAAATATCCTCAAACCTAGATTCAAAATCTGAATAGAGGGCATTTAAATGTTGAACGTAAGTTGAAACGTCGTCTTCCTGGCAGCTTGTCTGTGACAAATTGGGGAACTTAGAAAATTCATTCAATTCAATTTTGCTTCATCAGTTTAACTCTGGCAAGAAACGCTGATAAGATGGACTTTGCTTTAATCAAATTTAAACTGTCGCCTTGTAATTGCACATTAACCATATTAAATTTTGTAAACAAATCTGTTAAATAGGCGATGTCTGTTTTCCTCTTCAGTAAATTTTCTTTTAAGATTTTATCTTTAGTATCCAGAAATTCTAAAATAGTCTCAAAAAGTGCAAAAACTCTTGTCAAACATAAGCCTTTCGACAGTCGGCGTACTTCAGTGTGAAGGAGTAATTGATGAAAGTGTTCGTCATTTTCTTCACACAACTGCGCAAATAACCGCGTATTCAACGCGTTGCTTCTGATTCGGTTTACTGCATCAATGACTAAATGAAGTGATGCATGCAATCTAACACTCAAATTTTTAGCAACTAAATGTTGTCGATGGATGACGCATTGTATTGCTAACACCCCTGACACATTTTTGTTTTAAATAGCTTATAAATCCACGATAACGTCCAACCATGGCAGGTGCTCCATCTGTAGCTACTGATATTATATTTGATAAAGGAATCGCTTTTTCAATGAAGTAATCCTTCAAAACATGAAATATTGATTCACCTTTAGTGTCGGTTATCAATGTTCTTGCGAAGAGCAGTTCTTCGTAGATTTCCTAATTCATAATAAAACGAACAGTTGACTCGTCCAGTTGTATAGAGAAATGGGTCGTTTGCAAATAATTACATAAGAAGCTTTCAATATCAGAACTCATTTCATCAATACGTCTTTCAACAGTATCGTTGCTTAAGGGAATTTTTTTAATGATATTAGATGCAGGTTTGTGTAAAACAGTTTTTAAAACCTCTTCAACGGCTGGCAAAATTAACATCTCTCCGATAGTATTCGGTTTTCCGGATTTTGCTATAAGTAACGAGATATTGTAAGACGCCCGCAAACCATTATCATTTCTTTGTGACGTCGAAGCGAACATTCTGTCCAGTGTAGGTCTCTTCTGAAATTTATCTTTGAGTGTTTGAAAGTATTTCAAATCTTTCTCTGTTTTATCAGGGTGGCATCTTGCAGTTTAGATGGTTTCATAGCGTCATTGCCCAAAACTTTGTTGCATAAAAGGCACATAGGCGGTTGTTTGTCCGGCAATGATGGAATGAAGCCAAATTTCAAATAATCAACACTGTACTGTCTACGTTTCTTTTTAGATTCGGACATGGCATCAGTCGTCTGTGGGCAAAATTAAATTATTTAAATAAGACAGAAAATCCAGCAGCTGTATATTAAAAATATTTTTTGATTTTTTCGAAAACATTCCATAATTCGAACATCTTCTTGCAACAATTAGCTCGAATTACGGAGATTGCACTGTAATTATATTACCGATTGCTAAAACTTTCAAAAAGAAACTATTGAGGAGTACTCGTGTAATTTTGCATGATTGAATATTTAACTACTAATAACTAAAGTCATGACTGGCGTAATTTATCTATCTTTGCTAACTACGAGTACAAAACTAAAATTTATCCTCCAGCACTCTCAAACAAAATAACACTGGCTCACTATAATTTGTGTGATAAACTATCTGTTTATATTTTTTTAAATATTTTCTTACCACTTTCCTTTTCAAGATTCAGGAAACGTATAAACGTATTTGTCCCACATTCGTATTTATAAAGTGACGAATTGAACAAGTCAATGCAAGGTAGCGAAGATCTGAGACTGCGACTCTCAGGTTTTTACAAGTTCAAAATGTATTGCGACCACAAAGCGAATACCAACATCCTACAACTTACACAATTTTATAAACATATATAATAATTTTTTTACTTCATAGGTACTTTTATGAATAATGTATATGTTTTGATATTATAAGATAGTATGATGTAAGTAAATAGGTACTATCAGTGTATGTGTTGAGATCCACTATCGTGGACACCCATATTCATTTCATGGACCCCCAAATTTTTTTTCGCTGACGTAGACCCCTTGCAGGTTGTCCCCTAGGGGTCGATATAGACCACTTTGGGAATCAATGGTATAGGTTATATCCAAACTTCGATAACCTTAATGAACCGGACGCATATTATCGATGTGGTTGTGCTCCCTGAGCTATCACATAAAATAATCTTAGGTATAGATTTCTGGAAGGTTATGGAAAGCGTCCCTGATCTAAAGCAGGATGTTTGTTATTCTTCTAAATCTAGTGATCTTGCACAGGACTTGGTTGTTGCAGAGTCGCAGAACATGAGATTACTCTAGAACCAGGAACAAAACCGATTAAGCAACGTTATTATCCGGTGTCTTCCTACAAACAAAATTTTATTGATGAGGAAGTTGAAGAAATACTTAAACTGGGTGTGATAGAGAGATCGAATAGTCCTTGGCCTAGTCCTGTTTGTCTTGCCCGTAAAAAGGATGGACAATCTGGGGGTCAGTGCTGTCATGATGTTCCAATCTGGTCATATAGGTGTCTTTAAAGCTTTCGGTAAAATTCAGCAAACTTATTACTGGCCTAAGATGAAGGCTGATGTAAATTATGTAGAACATTGTTCTTGTTGTGCTCAGAATAAAGTAGAGCAGAAGTCACCAGCCGGTTTAATGGGCCGGACATAACAGAACCATTTCAGGCCTTAAGTCTTTACCACGTTGTGTTTTTGCTATATCCTTGTTATTTCAGACTGCTTCAGTAAATCAGTTTACTTATTCCCTTGTCGATCGGCTAAAGCTAAATCCTTAGTTGAAACTGTTGAGAGTTTCTTTCTTCTTTACGGAGCACCCATGTTTCTAACTTGCGACAATGGAGTTCAGATGAAATCTAAGGAATTTGAAGCATTGTGTAAAAAGTATAGTACCCGAATATTTTATACTGCCAATTATGGAATTTTGACCCTCAGCGTCAATAGAATCAGAAGAGAATCATCATCCTTTCTCCTCCAGTTGGTTGCATCTCGTCGCAGTTTTGCAAATTGGTGGAAGCCATCCCCTTGAAAAGATCGATTAGCTATAAAAGAGTGTTTTCTTAATTTTTTAAACTATTATTTATTTTTCATTTTCTAGCTCGATTTATCAGTTAGTTTTTTGTGGAAATGTGGTATTGAAATGTCATACGAATCATTTCGTAATCTAACCATTTCCATCTAAAGATCTTACATGACTAAGTGCTACATAAGCTTGTACAGCAGCAATCAGTCGCGAGCCTAGATAAATGACTGCATGATCGACTGTACAACCTTGTATCTTTTGGACGATCGAAGCCCAATTCAGGATTAATTGCAACATTCGCAATGAACGAGGTGAGGATGCACTACCTTGAAAAAGTGTCTACTTCTGTTGTGCTGTGCCGAGTGTCCAAACAAACAAAGAGTAAGTCCGAAACTGCACGCATGCGTAGATCGCGGGCCAGCTCTATCTCTCTTACACCCCTATAGACGATCTATAGAAGAATTTATCAATCCTGGCGATCCTAATAAAGATAATAGAAAACAGTTACCAAATTATTGCATTGTCGTCGGTCCTTGATACGTGTGAAAAGTTTCAGATTAATCAAACTTCTGGAAATTGGTGAAAATTATGCTCAAAAATACCGTCACATGCATGCATACAGGCCAAGCTAATAAAAGTGTGTTAAAAAGAATGAAGAGCAGGATACAGCTTATATGACATCTCTATAATTTTTTATATTATAACGTTATGCGTAAATGGTTTTTTAATCTGTTTTCTGGGTAGGTGTTAATAAAAGTACTATGTGCTGGTAAACGATTTCGGTTTATTTTATAATTTCCATTTTTTTTCTCTTCCCAATTCTAGGGCTTTCTTTCATATATCTATTTAGCATTCGAATTTTAAAATATATTTTACATCTAAAAAAAAGGATGCTTGGAGTCTGCATGGCTAAATGATCTTATGACCTTCACATTTAGACCGTCTGCGCCTTTGGTCAAATGAACGGAAGGTATTGCATCACTTTTCAAATTCCATTTAGTTTATGGCAGTCCCAAAGTTTTTCTTTTTAAATACTAGTCAGTTTCTACAAAATGCTTCGAACATATCATTGCGGTTTGTACATTAGATTTGTATGGATGATAGCACTTCAGAACCCATGGTTTGCAAACTTGTTTGTCCTTTTAAAAACTGAAAAAATGCCAATTTGAGGCGTCTCTGCTTTTCTTGTTGTTGCTGCTTGAACAACCCACCACTGCAAAGTACATTATAGTTTAATATTTAGTTCAATGTTTTGTATAAAGGAATGTTTTTTTATAAAGAAAAGTGTGCTTTTTATCTTTTCTGTTCTATTTAAGATGCATACTAACGTAATGATATTATGGGATTAATTTGTATTAAATGATTTTTAAGCTAGTGATATTCAGAATAACGAATAAATTTATTAACACTATTTTATTTATTTTATTCACAATAGGTGTTCAAATACATTTTTTCCATACGTAAATATTATCTTCTAACAGTAGAATTCAAGACACCACGTACCATTTCTGTTGTAATCATACTACATGTTTCCATTGCACATTCTCGGAACTACTGCCTTAGTTTCAAAAGTATGGTAATAAACTTGATTTTATACAGGGTGTTTCAGAACTGTGGGATCAAACTTCTAGCGGTTATTCAGTATAACAGTAGAAAAAAATTTGAGTATAGGGACCCATATCCGGAAAAGTGTCATTACGGCACTACGGCCGTAAGACGCGTTAAAATTTAGAAAGACGATGAATTGCCTAAATAGGATTTAAGGCATTTAATTTTTGCCTTTTGTACATGATATCATCACAACAATTGTTCAAAATGTCACAGATTTAAACGTCGCACATCATTTCGGCCGACTTGACTAAAAATTTGATACTCGCTTTGAATGATTTCAAATGCTGCTGTAATTCGTCCAATTGAGTCTTGCTCTGTTTCTACTGGAGTTTCGTAAACCAAAGACTTTACATGTCCCCACAGGAACGGTGTATTCAGGTTTGAGGAAGACATTTTGAACAACTGTTGTGATGATATCATGTACAAAAGGCAAGAATTAAACACACTGAATCCTATTTAGGCAATTCATCGTCTTTCTTAATTTTAACGCGTCTTAGGGCCGTAGTGCCGTAGTGACATTCTTCCGGATATGGGTCCCTATACTCAAATGTTTTCTACTGTTACACTGAGTAACCGCTACAAGTTTGATCCCATAGTTCTGAAACCCCAAACAAAAAAGTTCAGAGGAATTAAATACGCGCGCTGTCCAGGACACTTCACTGGAAGTTCCAATCCACCCTCGGGAAAATGGCTGAGAAAGATACTCTCCGACTTACCTAGAGTTATGTACAGTAACTCCAACATGTTGCAACAAGTGAAGGTACCGTTCTGCAATTAATGAGTTGTGGTAAATAAATGGACCTAATATTTTAGTCCCTAGAATTCCACATCATATATTGAACCAATGCTACTCGATACTTTTATAGACCGCAACGTTTTTTGAGCCCAGTAATACTGTTTTTTGCGGAAAATTTAAATCTTATTTTCATGATCGTATGTACCACTCACAAAAATGCTGGCGCCAGTCGCTCACCCCTGATCTAAGTCCTTGGCAAATCCTGAATTTATAGAGGTAATATCCATTTTTACGTAAAATAATTTGAGCTGCTACATTTTGCTGAATTTACCTAGATGATATTTCAGAGTCCTCACAAACTGCTTGTAAAACACTATTTTGAGTTTCCCTTAAAGGTTCTTTTTTTCGAGACGTAACAGGCTTTTTGAAAGAACAATATTAATTTAAATTTTGAGGCAACTCTAAGATAATGAACCTTCTAGGCTACCTTCTTTCGATAATTTTATCAAGATATATATCTGTAGTATTTTTAGAATTTCTGTAGCATGTCAGCTTGTCGAACTTTTATTAATTGCTAAAATGACCAGCTGGCATCTTTGACAATAATAAAGCAGTATTAACAATACACAAGAACAACAATACCCGGTGACAGGTATTTACGTCAAGTCCAACGCCTACTTAAAAAAAAAAAACAGGAAAAACGCATTTTTCCTCATATCCAAAGAAATAAATGTG